AGATTAGTTACTGCACCTTTCGAAGGTACAATCTTCTAAAAATATATGTTGAAAACTTTTATCTAATTAATTTAACCATTTTTTTTTGAAAAATTTCAAAGTATAATGTCAGTTGTAATTCTTTTTATTATAATCTTTGTTTATTTTAATTAAATTTGTATGTTAATAAAAAATAATTATTCTATTCTTTTCCACATAAGTATTTATGAGATTAAAAATAAAGTCAGTTCTTTTTGTATAGATTATTTTTGTTTCTTAATTTTGTAATCATATTACGAAAAAAAAAGCGTTCAACTTTGAAGACATATAATCCACTTCGATTTTTAATTTGAAAACAAAAGCTAATTTATTTAAATTTTGGTCTAAAAAGCATATGAAGTTTAATCTTCTCATAGTAGTGAGTTTCATAGCGTATCTGAAAAGAGATATACTATCAGATTTATCATTATTCTGTACATACTTCGAAGAACAGAAAATAATTTCAGAATCAGATTTTGGGATTATTCAGTGCTATCCAAATATGATATCCTTGTAAAGTGATTATGCAAAAAAAATTACATGTGTTCTCGACAGTGATGCCAGGAAAATCCAGTAACCTTCCGCAATAAATTGGCCAATATTAGTGAGTGACAGAAAAAGAAGAGGTACACCAACCAAAGTATAAAACATGCAAAATAATTTGCTCGCATCTGTTGTCGGTACAATGTTTCCGTAACCTATTTGTGAATGAATACAGTTTTACTTTGAAAAATATCAAAATAATTGTATTTATATTTGAAATAACAACATCTTCCAACAATAATTTAATTGGAAGGAAACTTAACTCTAAAGAAAAAACTTTAAAAATAAATAAATGGAAAAAAATTTTATTTCAATTTTTCATAAAAATTGAAATTGTAATTTCCGATTCCTTGAAAATTATTAAAAAATTTTTTTCTTCTAACGGATGAAAGAAATTCAACTTCCATAATTATAGGTTCTTCATTTTTGGTATTTTTTTTCACTTGAATAACAGAAAAAACAAGATCATACCAACGGTAGCAATGGTTGTAAATGTGAATTGAACAACATTATAAAACTTTTCTTCTGCAATACTTTTATCAATTATTTGAAATATTGCTGCACCGCCAACAACGTAAAACGTCAAAAATAAATTGATAAGTAAATGAGGAATCGATTCCACAAATAACTGAAAATAATAGCTATGAAAACTCTATTCTATCAATGATAATCATTGCTTAATTCAGTGGTAATTTATTATTTATTTATTGTAATTATGCTAAAAATGTATAAATTAGAGAGAATGAGGCATATATAAACGTAGAAATATTCTCATAGCAAATTAGTACTATTAATTTTTAATAATATTTCAAGTTAGAATGCATGAAAAAAATATAAAATTAAAAGAAGTTAATGAAAAAGTGAAAAGTTTATTTGGATAGTTTTATTAAAAAGATGCACATATTTTAAATTTACTTTAAATATTAACAAACAAAAAAATCAAAAATATTTGAAGATATGATGAGGCATTCTTTGATACTATTCTGCATTTAAAATTAATGGATTAATCTTGAAGGAATAAACATTACATGTTGAGTTTTTTTATTTGATAAAATGATTTTAAGCAAGTAATTAGCTATTTTAATTCTTTGCAAGACATTTTCTCTTAAATTATCAGGAAGAAGAAATTTCAATGAGTATGAAATGATTTAAATTTGAAAATTAACCCAATTTTTTGCATGTCAATTAATTAAAAACTTCTAGTACAAGTAATAAGCACTGATCTATATATGCTAAATTGAAAATGAGAATTTCATTTTATACACAAAGTTTTGATAAGTTCTAATATCGTAAACTTGCTCTATTTTATACGCCAAATAATTTGAAAATTTTATTTTATACACAAAGTTTTGATAAGTTCTAACTAATATCGTAAACTTGCTCTATTTTATACGCCAAATAATTTGAAAATTTGCAAAGTTTTTGTTTCAAAAATAAATCTACACTTTAAGGAGAATCAAAATTTTGCAATATAATTATTATTAGTACAAAAATTTTATTTTTTCTCATTACTTAAATTTAAATATTTTATATCTCAAATTCCGAACTTCTCTCATTGTAATAACCAAATTCACAATTTCTGTGTTTAAAAAGCTGCACTTGAGGTCTGCATCAAAAATATTTTCTATCTTTAATGTTCACTTGACATAAGTTATTATATTAAATAATAATCAATGATTAAAGGGCCAAGTAATTACAGTTAAAAATATATAATTTTAGAAGATAGCAAAACAAATATTGCAACAAACAATTCGTAGTTTATTGCTGCTTATGTGAATAAAATTTATTATTATTATTATTGAAATAATTAGCTATTTCAATTCTCAGAAATATTAATCATCGAAAATCAAATACTTTTTAATAATTGGTTCTTAATACTATAATATTCCTAAAAACCGTAATCTAGCAAATAAGTGCTCAGATTTTGTAGAATCACAGTGGATTATGGATAATTTTGATGTAAATAAGGAAAAATGCTTACTTCTTTCCACACATCTTGCTCTTGGCAACTATGATCTTGAATGAATTTTTTGCGCCAAATAGCATAAAATGAATAATTTTCCCAATAATCTTTAAATTTTTCTAATTGGGACGATGCATGACTTTTTTTCATTGGAAATTGTAAATGCATAAGTAAATCATATGGAGTAAACAGTTCATCATCTTCATCTTTTTGAAAATAATCGTTGTACAACAGGCTGTTACGATCGTTTGCTTCATCATTGCAGTCAAAGTTTATTTGAACGGGTTGTATCTGTGAAACAATTGTTACTAGTATATATTAAATCAGAAAATTATTCTCTTAAATTTTTAGAATTGTAAAAAGCAAAAATTTTCATATCTAGTCTGCAAATTACCAACATATAACAAATTTTGAAAAAATGAATGGTATACCTCAAATCTTGACAATTTTCGTGATGGTGGATCATATGACTTTATGGAAAATCTTTGAGGTACAGCAGAAAATTGTGTATTTGAATCTCGTAATAAACTGTTTTCGTTACTGATATCTTTAGAAATATTAGCAATAGCATTAGAGTTAGTGCTATTGTCTTCAGGAATTTGATACAGTAAATTCAGTCTTTCTGTTATCGAAGCACCGATGCATACTTCATCCTTCTTCGATGGTGAATTTGCGCACATTGCTAATGCTTAGTTATTGATATCAACGTAAATTATCGTTTCGAAGCCTTAGAATTTTCAATTTCAAACGGAAAGAGCTCTAAACGGTAATATGATTGCAATATTTGATCTAATTCAGCCTCAGAACTGTCAATAATATGCAAATATTGAAAACCAAACAAATTTTTATTTTTGATCTATACAAAGAAACTGCAATCATTCTTGATTGATTAGCTACAATTGTATGATTAAACTTAAAGTGTTATTGTTAAAAATTTTGCATTCTCTTCACAAGCAAAAAAAAAACTTTTATATTCAAATAGATACAGTTTGGTAGATTTAAAAAATCAAAGTCGATATGCGCATAAAATTGTTTAAAATCCAGTCATTTCTCTAAAGTTTTCAGTAAATATCAAACATTAATTTTAAGCAATTAATACTAAAAAAAATGAAATTGTTTGGATCTTAATTGCACGTAATTAATCAAAATGATTACTTTAAATAAATGAAAGTGAAGCTGTTAAAAATGATAGAAAGCAGAGATCGATTCAAGAAAAGAAGATTAAGAATGACAATCAAATATGGTTGCTCAAAGTAAAAATTGTTAATAATATTTACCTGCCGTATGAAAGAGGTATTGGTAATTGAAGATGAAAAAATACTTTTCTCGTTACTTCCATTCTTCGTCTTACATTTCTCGCAGCGTAAAGAAAAAGTTGTGGAAAAATTGAAATTTTTAGGAATGAAAAACTTTTCATCTTTTTGCTTTACTTCAACACAAATGATAGTGTAGACAATCATATTGTAGTTATTATCATTTTATTTATTCATTTCTTATTATCATTTTATTTATTCATTTCTTATCAATGATAGTAGTCATTATGATTGCAACGACGCAAAATTCTAAGGATTGGTTTTTATATGTGTTTATTTACATTTGATAACTTTATTAATATTTGAGTCATTAGTAAGTGAAATTTATTTGACACTGATGGCGATACCAGTTTTACTCCTTGTCTATCTCTCACTTCTAATTATCGTTTTCCATTCAGATGTTAAAAAACTTTCAAAGTGTAGAGGAATAAATTACTGAAAGTACACTTTTAATTTGTTTGACAAATCAGCAAATAAAGGACGAAAAATGTTTTGCGCAATTAAACAAGTTCAACAATGAAATTTTACTAATTAATTAAAAATTAGCAATAAGTGATAACAGGAAGTTTACTTGTCAGTCAATTCTCATGTATAGGTTCATCATGATTGTTTGTTTAAATTAACACAATTTCTGACTTCGATTCAAGTCTTTGCATTCCTGATCAGTAGTAAACCACTGCATTAATTAATTAGTTATTAGAAGTACAGTATTTCTAGCACTAACTTTCTTTTCCATGTTTTCTAAACACATATAAACTTTAATTCATTACACTACTACTTTCTGCAATTTTAATTCTATCATCATTATTGCTGAGTGAAAAGTGAAATCAAATCACCACATTCTTCGCAATATAAATACAATAAATACCGACAACGTAACAAAAACCACGGGCATAAAGTTTTTAGGAACAAACTTCCTTACTGGCTAAATTATATTTATCCATTTCAATTTTTTGGTTGTGATCTGTGAACTTATCATAAATGAAAAATTGGCATGGCGTATATGAAAAATTTGGGGAATCTTGTATTCGTGAAAAAATAGAATTTGGTATTTCATTTCTTACGCAACAACTGCATGTAATTCACGTATATACTGCACTTAAAACTCAAAAGTGTAAAAGTGTAGAGAAATAAATTACTTTCAGTAATTTATGACAAGTTAAATGTTCCACAATTGATATGCATGAGATGCATGTTGGTATTCTGTCAATGGTTGAGTGGAGAATTGAAGACGCACCCTTGTGTATAAAAATGTAAGTAAATACGATAAGCATTACTTATTGTTTTGGATGTGAGAGGGAAAGATTTGTGGCTCATTGCTCTCTGATATGACACGAAGAGCCATAAATCACATCTCAGTTCAGAAAAAAGCACCATCTGGTGTGGAAGCTCCAAATAAAGAGTCCATAATTCACAATTTTGTGAACGTTTAAACAGTACCTTCGTTCAGTATTCTCTTTCCCCTCTTCTTCCTCCCCGACAACTCTCTAATGAGACCTTTCACCTTCCCGACACTGTCAGCGTTAGATGGGTTATTTTTTTGTTTCTAACATTTATTTTCTACAAATCTATTTCAAAGAATTATTATTTTCCAACATTTATTTGTACAAATCTATTTCAAAGAATTATTATAAGTTATTCTGAGAGCAGTACGTGTTTTTCGAGAAGTCATTTTACGTATCTTATTTACTGTGAATAAAGACGATGTATAGTCAAGCACAAGAAGGAATTTTGAACGACTATTTTGCTGCTGTAGACTTTTAACATTAGACAGTAATACGGAATATTCTTTGGCAGTCGTGAGTTTCACTGCACCCCAAAGGAAATCCGAGCTAGACACGATATATCTGTACATCAGAAATTTATTTTTTGTCTAGTCTTGTAATGAATTGCACGACTAGACAAAAAATTGCTTTCACACATTTGTAATTTATTGGAATTTTTTGAAACGATCAGAAAAAAGACGATCTCCAATCGACCTATGTTTGCGGCTCGTCATTTCGACAATAAATTATTCGTGGTGTTTTATGCCCTGACTTTCTTTTGTTAGAGCAACACAGAAGAATGAGATAGAATTTCTTTCGGAAAGTAATTTACATTCCATTCAGCAGTTAGCAGCAGACATCGCTACTTAATTTGAAGTGTCTCGATTTTTTGTATACTTTTTCTTGTTTCATGTTGCCTTTGTATCTTGAGTAATTTGCAGATAATCATTTTCTTGAAGGTTTCTGCTTACAAGGTGTTTGTGGCTTTAAGGTTTAGAATTTGACATTATTGGAATCGAGTCAAACACGTAACCATAAACAGGTAAACGAAGCAAAACATGAACCATAGTCAATAAAGCTCAAACTACCCGATGTAAGGACTAAATAAATCATTAACACACCGTAGAATACCAAAGAAATTGTACAATGAATAATAATAGCCAAATAAGTCAAAAAAAGATTAAGTAAAAGTCCATCATCCTACTCAAGATAAAAAGCAACATAAAACAAGATAAATTATACATAGCGACCGAGACACTTCAAAACACCAACACTAAAACAGATCATTGGAAGTTAAAACTACGCGCAAAGACATGATGCGCGTATATTATCTGCGATTATATTGGTTTCAAAATAACTACGAGAATTTTTGACTGCTAATTAACCACAAAAATATGTTGGCCATAAGTTATCTCTCTAAACGTTTATAGATGTGACAGAATCAGTGAAGAATCATCGGAAGGGTAGTTTACAATATGTGTAGGCAATTCTAATAAACCTTTTATTGCAGTGACAGTCGCTACCATTTATCAATATTAGATGCTCTCGAAGAAACTGCAATTATTTTATCAGTATATTGTATCTGCAAATGCATTTATTGGGGCTCATGTGCATTGATAAGGTCAAGCATAGAAATTTGCTCTTAAGTCGTGAAATGAGTGATCGGCATTACTACTAAATTCAAGACCTTATGTTGGGTAATTTGATACGGAAAAATATGCAAAACAAACTAAAACCTGTATCCTATCCCTTTCAAAAAATTCAGTCTAGAACAATCCGAATTATCCTTCCATCCATTCACAAAAAACAAAGATCAAGACTGAATAATTCCACATATAGTGTTAAATTTGCAAATCTGGTTGCACGTTATAGGCGCTTGTTTGTTTCTTTCTTCATTACATCATCTTGGTAACTTTATATTATAGAATTCTGTTGCTCAGAAATAGATTATACTCTGTCTTTGCCATAAATGAGTTTCACATCATTTTCACGCAAATGACATCACAAAAAAATTTACACACAACATCGGATTCTAGAAATTGCAAAGTAAAACGAGTGAATTTCAAATATTGTAGCCCATAAATTCAATTGAGCAAATACCGGAATCACTATAGCATCACTTCAGCATTTTAGACAAATCAAAATATCCAGCTTATGCTGGCAACGAAATGCCATTTGTTGCAATTAATAGATGAACTCAAAGCATTGTTTTACTTGCATTAGTTGTCAATATTTAGAGTTTTCGTACGCCACAAATATTCACTGTTCTTGGAAAACACAAGGGCAACTCATTTTACGAAGAATTGATGTAATAGAACAAACCTCTAAAGTATACAAAGGATTGTACGAACATATATAATCATAATCTAATGACGCATGTTTTAATCACAATATGCAGATCTAATCTCCTCAGAACTTGCATAATGCATGGAAACGTGGTGATATGCATAAATGCTATATTATCAACAACTGATTGCTATTTGAATCAGTTGAGTAAAATGACTAGTGTGTGTAATCTTAGCGGGTATACACACAAAGCACCACACGCGCGCAACAATACACATGTAACAACTACACACGTGCAGGACTACACAGAACAACAGAATTACACGTATGTTGGAACTATACATATACTGGACCACGTAGATGTGTGACAATATACAGATGCAGAACTACACATACATGCAGTACTAAACACTCATATTATACACTCATGAACATACGCGTAACTAAGCACAAGCAGGATTTTCCTCGTATATAGTCCCCGATATAACCATTGAACACGTAGTCGGATACTACAGGGAAGTCGGATACATGTCGGAAGGTTACATCGGGGACTATATATGCATATGAAGGACAAATGATGAAGTAATACGAGAAGGGACTACTACGAGAAGCACATGAGAATAAAAAAGTGAAAGGGCTACATACATCCAAAGAGCAGATGAGGAAATACACATGGACTACACATACACATGTGGGACTGTACATCAACATAGGGACAACGCATACACATAAGGGACTACATATGCACATGAGGTTCTCAGGATGAGAGACTACACGTATACAGGAGGCTCCAGAGGAAATATGCAGGGGGACTACATACACACGTAGTTCCGGGAACAACATATGCAAGGGAACAGCACACATACGAGGGACTACACATACACACGTGGTTTATACCATGCCTCTCTTTTCCCTGTTTATAAGAGCTAAACACATGTAAACAATCTCTTTACAGCAGCTCATCATTACGGAATGAACCTGGCTTATGCTAAAACATTCTGACCCCCAAAAATCACTCAGATAACTTTTTGACGATGTTTCACAGCATTCGCAGTTTCCTTCTAGTGTTTAGACACTCAAATCCAACTTCAGAATCAAAATTACAACGTAGTGCGTAATGGCAGTTTTTTAGCAAAATTCCACGTAAAGAAATGTAGGAAAGTATTAGTTACCTGTCTACTGACAATGAAATCGAAATAGAGCTTTTCTGGTCTTTCCTACCATTACGTACATCGGTTCATTTGCACCAGATCAGACAGCACTTGAAACCTTCATCTCAATTTTCAACTTTCTGGAACACTACTTACAAGTCCTTGATACTGGTGAATTTTGATGAACTCGATACGAGAGAAATATAAAACAAATGAAAAAATAAGTAGCATACTAAAGAATCGCAAAACACCTCATGAAGTCGAACGACCAATGCCATACAGGTTGTTTTTTCCAATCAACTGGTCGACAATACGCCAATCGAAGTCTTAACAAGGCTTTTGGCAGACTAAACCATAAAAGATATCACAACAAAATGTAAACTTTCAATAATGGAATTATATATGATAATAGGAGAGCCGGATAATTATTTTATTTTTCATTTTTTTATTCTGGCTCAATTTTTTTACTTTTTTTTCTCAAATTACCCATGATTAACAATATACAATCACCACATATTCAGAATAAATTAACCTTTGAAACAACTACCTATCGCAAACAGTAGGGACCAGAGTTTTAAGCAAAACAACTCAAAGCCTCCACACGAAAATTTAAGCTAATCCCGGAACGATCCAAGGATACCACAAAGTCGTTCTGACTTCACACTTACTGTGATGAAGTAATAAAAAGTCGTCACACTACGAATCTTTTAAAGTTGGGTAGGTACTGGCACATCCAGCCACTCCTACATAATTACAGAAGATCGCAGGGACTAATTAAGGAGCTGGCATATTCGCCCAATGACTCCTTTTTCCAAATTTAGAGGAACTAAACCGCCAATGCCAATTTCATAACTACACGCGGCCGAACGGACTTTGCGCAACCTAATGACCACTGTCCTGGGATTAGAACCCAAATTTTACTAATCCCATTCCCCTCTAGTTGTTACCCCTCTCAAGTTCTGGTCCCTACTCCTACTATACACGTCGTAACCTAATGAAAATAAGACTTTTTTTAACTCTGCATAGCAAAAGTAAAAAAAATCCTTACAACAACAAAAACTACTTATCACAAAATATAGAAAATCTGATCCGAAGTTCCGATCCAGCAGACGAAGGCGAGGTGTGAGTCGGACAGACTGGAAGGTCCCACTGGAACACCAGACAAAACTGAACCGGTCGCTATCGGTAGGTGATGAAATAATGATAATAATATGGGTAAGTTCTTCCTTGCACTTTTGTACTTTCAACTTCGGGAGGGGCTTAGCATTTTGATTTCCATGGATGTGCGCACTTTTGTAGTAAGTAATGATGAAGAGTAGATGATGTGATGTGATGCATACGTGCGTTTCATAAGTGTCAGAGTTCATTACCACACACTATTGCGCATATCTTTCTCTCATAATTTGTACTTTTTTGTGGATAGAAAAATGCTCGTTGAAGTTTTTGATCTATTTGTACTTACAAAAGAATAATTGCAGAAATATACACATCTCAGAGATGAAAAAGTGTATTGACGAGGAAGAGAAGCGAAGGCTTGCAGAGGAGCGGTACAGTTACGTGCACTGCACTTGCACCCTTTTTACCTTTCTTTTCATCGTAAATGACGTGGGCAGTTGAAATTCTCACATAAAGAGAGATCAAAAACTTTGTCACTTACGAAAGATATTGCAAAGTTAATGACGCAATTGTAACATTGAACAATGCAAATTATGATATTTATCTGATTCTCGTCTCAAGTTTAATCCAAATTGGATTAGCTATAATATTTTTGAGGTCACCGTAAAATCGTAAGCAGAATTTCGAATGCAGATCATCTATTCAGTTCCTATTCAATCCATGCACTGAATAATGAATTTAAATGTTTGATAAAAATAATTTTTTTTCCGCTCACTTCTACACTTTTCAGACATTAATAAATGTACATTTAGTGAGTCATTACATACAGAAGGTGTTTTTGGTCCACAGTCTTCTCGGTTCTTTAAGAGATATAAATGTACAACATACACACATCTAATCTTTACTTCATTTATACGCCAAGTAAAGGACTACATTCGGAAACACTACATTCATAATTTTCCGCATAGCTCGATCAATGGATCCAGACACGTATTGTAATTGACCAATTTTAAGTAAAATTGTAAAATGTTAGTGCAATTTAGTAAAGAAATCAGCTGACTTCTGACTACACAGAGAGACGCAGAGACAAAGAAAACAGCAGAAGGATACAAAATGATTAGGTGATTTGAAGTGTTTTAAGTACACCGAATTAGGCTACTAATGCTAAATTATTATTCAAGGGCAGTGAATTGAGTCAGAAGTCACACTCACGTACTTCACGTAGTTTCTTCATTTCGAGAGGTTCTTTATTTTCTAATTGTTTTTCTCGTTGGTTTCCGTTGTGATGTGATGTGTTGGCTTTCTCACACAGTTTTCATATGCACACGGTCAAAAAATAAGATGAAAATTTGATTTAGTTGTAAATTATGCCATCAAGATCGTAAAGTAATCACAAAATGATTAGCAAGTGGCAACGCAATCTTGTAGTTTTGATTGTTGGGAATTCAGTTTCTCAAAGAGACAAAAATTATTTCTTGGTTGGCAATATTGACGCATTCATATATTTAGTTTCTGAAACAAATTTAGGCAAATAATTTTAAAGATAGATTTTTCTAAATAATGGTTAAGTGAATCTATTTTATGGGGTAGATAGATGAATTTTATAGTTTAATAACCAAGTGAATGTTTTTCGATATCTATTTACTGTGCAGATTAGCTGAGTAAATCTGTCTTGATTAGCATTCAAGAAATTAATTGCATAATCAATAAGATAGATTTCGTTTAACCTTTTATTCAGATAGTTTTATCTGGTCAGTGATATATTTACCCATCTAATTCCCATGATAGGTTAAGCTAGCTAATGCCTGAAGTAGACTCGATTTTCATTTTTTTTCAAATATATTCACTTAGCTATTTAATAATCAATTATCAAAATTAATGCACCAGCTCATTCCTACTATAAATTTACGTAGTTGATT